CCCTCCCCCTCCTTCCCTCCCTCCCTCCCTCCCTCCATAGTTGAATGTCATCCAGAAAAAAATGCTTTTTTAAAAGTGACATTCAGAGGACGTCTGCTTAGTTTAAAAGCCAGCTTCCTCATCCTTGTAATAACTGGGAGAAAACGTTATGATCTCTGCTAGGTACATGATTAATTTTTAGCAACAGAAGGAAGGCAGAAAGATTTAGTTTGTCAGTGAGTGGAAACATATTTTTTTTTAAAAAAAAATATGCCTAAACTGTTATTCCTATTTGTGGTATTTGCGTGACTCCAGAACGTTGTGGTCCTTCTCCTAATCCATGGCTTCAAAATGTAAGATACTTTGAAAATGAGAATTGTTCTTATTCCATATTCGGAATGGCACAAAAGCAGGCAGACGTGGCCAGTGTACAGGTCCTGGCACAGAGAAGAAGAGGAGAAAATTGTTTGATTCTAGTTTCAATGTAAACATATCCAATTCTCATTTTTGAACTTAGGCATATACCAGATTCCCAACTATGCAGGCAAAGCCTAACTTAACAACACAAATCCATGTGTACAAAAATGTAGAGAAAGGTACATACAAAGATGGGCATATTAGAGGAGAGTGTGCAGAAAGGCATCATATAATAAGAGAAGATGATTGAAAAGAAATGTTCATACAGTACTCGGAGCAGTGCATGTAATAAGGCATTGATACTGCCAAGATACTGTACGTGCTAATATCTGTTTTTTCGTTAAAAACAAACCACAAACAGATGTGAAAACAATACAGGAAAGACTTGAGATTCAAAAACCAAGCATGATAAAGCTTGGCAGACTTGTTCAGGGCAGACAGATCTTGCAAAATGGGAATATAGATCTCTAGAGGGGGGCACGTGTCTTTCCTTGTGCTCACTTGTGATCAATGGGTACTCGGATCCAGAGAAATTCCATAGGTGAATGGTTCTCGACCTTTTCTTCACCATGGACCCCCCCTTTAAATACCTTTTGTGACCATGCACCACAGACCCCCAAGACTTAACTCAAGATGTAAATCATAAAAGTTCTTCAAACCTTCATGGACCCCCTGTGACGACATCGGTCTCCCCAGTGGCCCGTGGACCACAGGTTCAGAATCATTTTCCTTTGGCTTGATCTGACCCTGTCCGTCATGGAGCATTGTGTGTGAATCATTGACTTAAACTGCCAATCTCTTCTGGTTCTCTTGCTTTGCCCCTTCCCAGGAAGGAAATCTCAAATGGAGGAAGTTCAAGATGAACTCATTCACCGCCTTACCATCGGTCGGAGTGCTGCCCAAAAGAAGTTCCAAGTGCCACGCTCCAGTGCCCCCATAGTCAATATCAACTACGAATCTTCTCCAGAAGACATTAAAGTTTGGCTACAGGCCAAAGGATTCAACTCAGTGTAAGTCCAAAGGCATAACCAGCTGTTTTGAATTAACCACAGCTTCAAACAGCCGTATGTATGCTTAGACAAATGACTTTGGACCTGAGCGGTATAATGTGAAAATTATTTCATGTTGAGTTACATGAATGCGTAATTACAATGTTTCCCGATACGATTGGGAAGTTATTGCCATGTAGGAGATGACCAGGCTGAGCCTGAGGGAGGGGTCAAGTACGTCATCAATCATGAGTCCCTGCACGCCCACAAGAGACCTAAGTCCAGCTCACTTTGACTGTCCTCTCTTATCTCCCGCTCATTTCCCTTGACCATTAGTAGTTCAGATTCTTGTTGAGAGATTAAGCTTGAAATAAATCTTTATACCCATTGGGATTTGAACTGCTTGAAATTGCTGATCTCCCCGTGCTTGACATTCCATTTATTTAGGGTTTTTTAAAATTTATTTATTCGTCAAACAAAAATTACAAATTCGAACAAACAAAATGAAAAAACTAAAATGTGACGGGGATGATAAGCACATTAGTGCACTTACACATGCCCCTTTAGGAACCTCTTAGATACGAGATGAGTTTCATATGAGGCCTAGATGCTGTTGGATTCCAATTTTTATCGTTCCTAATTAGCGTGATTAGTTAAGCCATGAAATAAGGAATTATATCTCAATAGCTTCTGAAAGATCACAGGGTCCTTCCTTCGCCTGCTTCTGTTGACTAATTAGCATCTGTTCTCTCAGATGTAAAAGGGTCGTTGCTCATACATTATTACTACTCATGCAGGACCGTGAACAGCCTTGGAGTTTTGACTGGTGCACAACTGTTTTCCCTCAACAAAGATGAACTTAAATCTGTGTGTCCAGAAGGCGCTCGAGTCTACAGCCAAATTACTGTTCAGAAGGCGGCACTAGAGGTACGTGTCAACGCTGTTAATATAGGATATTATTGCTTTGACAAGATATACAGAACTGTCTGGTATTTTTAGAGTTAATTCAGATGACAGAGTGAGGGAGGAGATTCATAAAAAAAGCCCGGGAAAAGGAACAGAAGTGAATCTTTGCCCTCCGGGCTAATTGGAAGATGTGACATATGACTGCAAAATAAGGGAGGGGTTTAGAAAGAAAAGTTAGACGCAAGCAAGAGAAATTCAGATTCTGGCATACATCCATGATGTGCCGTCGATTTGTTACACTGTTAATAAAGACTTTAGGATAAACATGCCTGGAAGTTCTTTGAAGTGTTTCATTAGTCGGAACCATGACAGTACGTCCTGAACAAGTTATTCATCTACCGTGCTGTAGCTACAGGACGTGGTCACCCCAGGCAAAGAAGTGTTCATGGAGGGAAGTTCACTCTTGATAGAGAGATGGACAGCATATAAATTTAATAAATAAACAAAGGAGGGAATTTGCCTGCCTTAGACCAGGAGCAAGAAGCTATTGCATCGGGAGATCCATCATTTTTGTTGGCCTTTAAAGGCTCTAGGTAGGGTGTTAATGTTACTGGTGGGAATGGGGCCAAGATTTTCCTTTCATTTTTTTCAGGGGAGGGGTAAAGGTTGAAGTACGTGACTTAAGTCTTGGAGAGACACTCGTGTTACCCCAAGAGAGCACTCACTTTTAGAAGTCTTGGGGTTTTTAAAGCTACCTTCATCTTTTGCAGATATTAAGGCAACTCTTTTTTTATACTTAACCATCCACTTCAAAGGCTGAAAACATGAGGTGGTCTGGGGGTGCTTTGGAGACAGCAAGCCCACAGTCGACAGATGTTGATTTTTAGCCTATGTCATAATAGTAAACTATGGTTTAGTATTGCATCCAAATCATCCCACTGAGTCATGCATGTGACTATCATATTTTTTTGCTTGAGAGGTTGAATAAAATTAACTTTCCAGGTTTCGTGTCTATGGAGATTCTCAATCGTCCAGATCACGGTTGTCCCAAAGGTGCTTTTCCAAAACGCAACTGGATGTTCTTGTTTTTTCTTGGAACATGTTTTGCTTCTCATCCAAGAAGCTTCTTCAGTTCAACTAAAAAAGCTTCTTGGATGAGAAGCGAAACATTTTCAAAAAAAAACAAACAAGAAAGTCCAGTTGCCTTTTGGAAAAGCACCTTTGGGATTTCCAGGTTTTATATTGTATACTGGATTTGACTCAGAAAAGTATATTTCTGCAACATATATATATATATATTTGTCTATACCTGCAGAATTCCAGTGGAAGTTCAGAACTGCAAGAGATCATGAAAAGACGGAAAGAGAAACTTAACGCGGCTGCCACAGATTCAGGAGTCGAATCTTTCGATGAGAGCAGTGGTCACTAATAGACTCGCCTGCAAATGTTTTGTGGTTATTGTCAAGGGGGGGGGAAACCCGTTGTTCTTGGCATTGTTCCATCATGCTTTGTTTTAGGAAGCCATGAGGGGGAAATGTCGGGGGATTGTCTCTATTTATGTAGCTGGGATATCATGCCATTAAGGGAGCATGCAGTTGGGAGCCAAGAGGAAGAATGCAATTGCCGATTTGCCTCTCCCTTGACAGAAAAAAAAAATATAGAGAAGGATATTCCCTGGAGGAGTTCCTTAACCAGGCCTCCTGAGAGAATTTCATGCTTTGCTCATCTTTTTTCCACAGCCTAGCAAAGTCACATTGCAATATTTTGAGTTGCCCTCAGACTGAGCCATCTGACGAAATGTGTTGAAATCTGCAGTCCAACAGAAAGTCCAAAACAGCATGATCCAGCCAGCGTTGATTCATTCCTTTGTCCAGGCCCCGTTGATTTCAACAGAAAAGTGAAATCAATACTTACATTTCTGCCATTGAAATCAAGAGGACCTCAAAGGATTTCATTGTGGCACAACGTTCCTTTTATTCATGCCATCCATGCGGTTTGCCACAATTATGGACCGCGGCTTTTCTCATCCACCAGCACTTAAGATTTCCACGTTTATTTAGAAGCTCCCAGATGAATGATATATTTTTAATTATATTGTCAGTGACCACACTGATCTTACAAGCACAGATTAAACTCTTCTAACGGCATCCTGTCATGATTTCTTAATGGAAGTGTACATAGCAATGTAATTTATTCTGCATTTCAATTATTTGTCTGTTTGCCTTGGGGGGGGGAGGGATAAGTATGAATCAATGAAAACACTAATACAATAAACAATAGCACAAATTTTAAAAAGCAGGGGCATTTAGATCTTATTTTGATATCCACGTGGTAGTTCACAGTATTATTTCTTAATAGTATTGCATTTTTTTTCATTTAAAAAAAAATCTTTAACTTCACCAAGCGAAAAGGAAAGGGGAAAAAGGGGGAGGGGGGAAAGTGTTTATAAATGTTTTTAAAAATGCTACAAAATTACATCTTGATTTCCAATTTAAATCGTTTTAAAAAATATAGCCAAAATATTCCAGTAAACACATGAATATATTTTTTTTCTGTGCAAAAACGTTCTGTTCTGTCACATGGCACGTCAAGACAAAATAAGAGGAAAAATGTGTCCTTTGACCAACCTAGATGAGATGTATTGATTTTCATGGTGCCTTTTTTATGACTCCTCAAAGTCTGCAATAAACACTGATGTACGTGAAGTGGTTTGCATTGTCTGTTATGAGAAAGAAGATGCAAGCTTTTCCTTTGGGCTCCAAAGAACAGTTTTTTGTTTTTTGTTTTAAAATCAGTTGAGAGTGATGGAATCATCTCAAGATACCTCTACCACTTCACAAGAGTTTGAAAACTCCTTTCTACTTCATACAAAATCTTCCCACTTCTCAGTTCAGAAGGTTCTTTTTTAATTTTCCCTCTAACGTGCCAACTCTGTATCTGCTAGTAATCAGTGTTTCTCTAACTTAGAGTAGAGCTGGAAGGAATCTTAGAGGTCTTCTAGTCCAGGGCTTTTCAACCTTTTCACCCATTGTACCACTTTTAGGATATGGCAGTATCCGAGTACCACCAGTCGCCTAGCAAGGTGTCAAAAACTTGATGACCAAAAAAAAAAAAAGGAAAAAAAGTGATAAAGTACAGGTAGTCCTCGACTTACAACAGTTCGCTTAGTGACTGTTCGAAGTTACAATGGCACTGAAAAAGTGCCCCCCAAGCCACAGCCAAGCAAGAAACCTGCCTGCCCACCCGGCGGCGCTCTTCCTCCTGTCTGAGGTTTTCATTGTTGTGAGCATTTCTGTTCAGGATTGGCAGTGGGGGTGGGGTGGGGGGTGTTTGGTTTTTATTCCCCCGTCTGCTGGGTGGTTGCAGCAGGTTTTGGTCACTTCACATGACCCTGGGACACTGACCGTCATAGATATGAATCAGTTGCCAAGCATCTGAATGTAAATCACAAGACCCTGGAGATGCTGCAACATTCCAGCTGATCGGCACTTCTTCTGGGCTCAGCAGAAGTGCCAGGATAAGTGCTGCTTTCCAGCTGATTGGTGCTTCTTCAGGGCTCAGCAGAAGCACCAGGATCAGCGCCGAGCTCCAGCTGGAGTCTGGCGCTGATCCTGGCGCTTCCACTGAGCTCTGACAGCCCCGAAGCGCCAATCAGCTGGAAAGCGGCACTGATCCTGGCGCTTCCGCTGAGCCTTGACAGCCCTGCAGCTCCAGCCATCTCTCGCTCAGGCAGCCCTGCAGCTCCAGCCATCTCTCGCTCAGGCTTTGCGGTGCTGCCACCAGTTCAGCTCATTCCCCTCCCCCGCTACCACTTTTTTAGGATGGTCGCGTACCACCTGCCAGGTGCCAATGTACCACAAGTGGTACCCGTACCACTGGTTGAAAAGCCCTGTTCTAGTCCAATCCTCTGCTCAAGCAGGAGACCTTATAACATTTCAGACAAGTGGCAGTCCAGTCTCTTCTTAAAACCTCCAGTGATGAAGGCAAACCTACAACTTCTAAAGGCAAGCGGTTTACTGGTTAATTGTCCTCACTGTTAGAAAGTTTCTCCTTAATTGCACATTGGTTCTCTCCTTGATTAGTTTCCATCCATTGTTTCTTGTCCTGCTCTCTGGTGCTTTGGAAAATAAGTTGACCCCCTCTTCTTTGTGGCAGCCCCTCAAATACTGGAATACTGCTTTCATGACACCCATAGTCCTTCTTTTCTCAAGACTAGCCATACCCAGTTCCTGCAACTGTTCTTCATGTTTTAGTCTCCAGGCCTTTAATTGTCTTAGTTGCTCTTCTCTGCACTTTTTCCAAAGTCTCAACATCTTTTTTGTAATGTGGTAACCAAAACTGGATGCGGTATTACAGGTGTGGTCTTACTAAGGATTTATAAAGCAGTGATTTTGACTCTATGCCTCTGTTTATACAACCAAGAATTGTATTACTGCTGGCTCATATTTAAATGATCATCCACTAGGAATTCAAGGTTTCTCTCACAGCTACTGTTTTTGAGCCAGGTTTCACCTAATCTGTACTTGTACCTTTGGTTTTTCCTGCCCAGGTGTAAGACCTTGCTTTTCTCCACATTAAATTTCATTTTGTTGGGCCCAGTGCTTTTTTTCTTTAAAAAAAAGGTGCCGGAACTCACACATGTCATACAACCCGCTTTGCCTACCCTACAAGGTTCCATCCAAAAAAGGTGCCGGAACTCCATTCTGGGTGTTCTATGAGAAAAAAAAGCCCTGATTGGGCCCATTGTTCAAGTCTATCAAGATCCTTTTGGATCCTGACATTATACTTAGCAACTTTAAGATGTGTGGACTTCAACTCCCAGAATTCCCCAGATAGCATGCTGGCTGGGGAAATTTGAGAGTTGAAGGCCCCACATCTTAGCATTGCCAAGTTGGAGAAACACTGTGCTAGAGGCTTTTGAGAGGACTTGGGAAACATTTGACACTCCAAATTTTTGAACTCAGTGCCCTGTTTCAAGCTCAAAACAGTTATTTTAAGTTTGAGCTGGACTGACCTTGCCTTAGTGATGAGGTCAACCTATTCTGTATCATTCTGAACTGAGCTTCAAATAGTCTTATTTTAAGCTGAAAATGGAGCAGTTTCAAACCCAACACACCTCCATATTCATTAGAACCAGCCCTTGGAGAAGAAAAGATGTTGAGGTAGTGATAAGATTGAAAAAGACATGGATAAAATAAGGGATTGAAGGGATAATCAGCTTGCAAATATCTATTGAAAGAGAGTCAGAAGTCATGTATGTATGTCTTGAATTTTGTTTTGGTTTCTTTTGTATATATTGTATTTTTCTTTCTTACTCTTTTCCTCTTTCCCTCCTTTTTCTATTTCTTTAGATTTAGATTTCTTTAGATGTCTTTTATCATAAAAATTCTTAATAAAAATATCTTTTAAAAATAGTGATCTTGACTCCCTAGGGCATTGCCCCTTTGCATATGATACTAACACACATAAAATTGCACAGTTACAATGGCAGTCTTGATCCTTCGTATCTCCCCAATTTTGCAGACAACCTTGTCATATCCACATTGGAGCAATTCCAATAAGTAAGAGCAACCTGTTTCAATTCAGAAAACATTGGTGTACTTCTAATTATTTAGATGTGATCCTCCAGTTATGCTGGTACATTGTACATTTCCATCAGAATTCAACTTGCACCAGATTATTTGAAGGATCATCTTTTCCCAGTTACATCTACCCAACTCACCTGAGTGGGGAGGCAGGGTATGTTATGGGTCCCCCCTCTTAAGGAAGTCAATCTAGTGGGACCAAGAAGAAGGGCCTTCTCTGTGGTGGCTCCCTCCCTGTGGAACATCATCCCTGTGGAAATATTGGCCCCTCACATCGATACTCTTTCGAAAGACCCTGAAGACATGGTTTTGCCACAAGGCCTGGTGATCCCAGGGCGATATGAATCCCCTCAAGTGGTTTGTTTGATTGTTGCCACTAGGGAGATGGGCGTTTATTGCGTTTTGTATATGGATAGTATAAGCCACCCAGAATCATCATGAGTGAGCTGGGAAGCCATATAATTTTTTTATTGAATAAATTAAAAACAAAATATGTAATATTTAAGAGTTTGACTCTTATGGGGTAAATTTTACACCATTGTGAGACTTTTCCTATGTCGAAGAAATAATTCAAGTTTTTCCCAACTTGTGAAGATGTTAGTGTCAACGCTGCAAATACTGTATATTCTTGCTTTGACAATATGCAGAACTGTCTGGTATTTTTATAGTTAAACCAGGCAACAAGGAAAAAGGGAGGAGAATAAGGATAGCCTGGGAAAAAGAAACCGGAAGTAAATCACATCTTCCAAGTTGATTGGAAGATGTGAACCATGACCCCAAAATAAGGGGGGGGGAATGCTTAGAATGCATATGCGTAACAGAAAAGAAGCCAGACCTAAGCATTTCCACCATGCTGTACTGACGTCTCTGTAACCTTAATAAATGCTTTTAGGAGAAAATATGCCTGAAAGTCCTTTTAAGTGTTTCGTTAATCAGACACATGACAGTTAGCTCCCACAATTCTCAACGCTGGTCCTGGCAAATAAGAATTGTGGGAACTACTCCATGAATGTGAGAATGCAGAACTCTTCAATGAAGAACCAGCTTCACCATCAAACGGAGCATCATATTCCCCATCTGGTGCCAGTATGAACAGACTAGACCCGGGAGATTCCCTCCCTTTCAAGACAAGTCCAAAATAAGAAAAGCCAGGTATATATTCCCATCTCTCATCTGGAGGAAATCAGGTTAGCTGATGCAAGGAACAAAATGCTCGTTTTGGAGAAAACTGTGAAATGGACACAATTGTGTCCCCACTTCCATGTCTCTGAGAATGCTGACAATATCCAGTTTATACACAATGCAATGAGGAAACTATAATGAACTTTGTAGTGCAAAGCAAGCTTTGTATCCTGGTGCCTAACCTGTGGCCGGCCTAATGTTGACCTGTGGCCGGCCTAATGTTGACCTATTCCTGAGGGATCCCAATATAAGATTCACTCCATATTTGTGTTATATTTTTTCCATGATTTTTTTTTCACAGCTCTTTTGAAAGTGTTAGCTGTTCTCTTGTTTCCACAAAGCCTTAATTGTTCTGTCTCTTCTCTCTTTTCCTCATTATTCAACCATACTCTCCAAATAAAGAGCAGCGACTCTGATAAGGCTTGAGCAGATTTTGGCAAAGATATTAAATTTCTCATACATTTAATTGATTTGTCGTTTTTTTTCTTGGAGACTATCTTATGGGTGTTTTTCACAATACTGTGAAGTGTATGCAATTTTTGCTGTTCCAAAAATCTGCCAAACCAGATGCACAGAAAATAATTTTTGTATCGCCTCAATTCCTTTGTCTCTTGCTTCAGCGTTTATTTGTGCACTTGCTAAGGATATGTTTTTTAGTGTTGTGTTCATTCCAAAGGAATGCAGCATGGAGAAGACACATCTATGTTGCATTTACGTTTCGAAACAGTCCTGGAGAAATCTGCTTGCACAACTAGTTTTCTATAAGTGGATGAGTACTACTAATTATGTAAAAACCTGGAAGTAGAAAATCCTACATTTCAAACATTAACTTCTTTTGAATCATGGAAAGAATCCAGTATGAACATTCACAAATTCAGCAAAAGCAGATGGAGTGAAGTGGAGATATACAGTACGGTTAAGCAGATTGTGAGTTG